AAAAAAAAAAAAAAAAAAAAAAAATTTTTAAGAACTTAAAATTAAAACAGAAATAAGAACAAATGGCCATTCTTGGATCATCTGCAAAGCTGAACAAATATCTGACATGTGTTTCTGTGATTCCTTGCAGATATCATGGAAATCAGAACAGTGGCAGTTGGCATTGTGGCAATCAAAGGGGTGGAAAGTGAATTCTATCTTGCAATGAACAAGGAAGGAAAACTCTATGCGAAGGTATTGATAAGTGATAGCTTAGATTTAATTTTTCAAATTCATTTTTGTCAAAGTATCTCACCTTTCTGAAAAGTAAAAATTAATTTATCTCCAACTGTATAATAATAATATAATAATTTCATTAAAACACTTTTTACTCAAACATTAAGAAAAAATGTTTTTGGTGTGACTTTGAAGAAATAGCTTGCTCTTTAGACTTTGGTTTCTTCGTCTATAAAATGAGTTGAATTAACTGACCTCTAAGGATCCTTCCAGCTCTAAAATTCCATGTGCGTTTTAGATATTTAAAATCCAAAATTTCCCTTTGCCAGGATTAAAGCTCTTTTTGTTAAAGTTCACCCAATTTACACATTGCTGACATGAAAATTCTTGGGAAAAAATATCCTGAAGTGTTTAGTTCATTTATCAACATCAATCTCACAATCATGGGCTTTGAACTGTAATTATTCACATTGTTCCCACTTCACTACAATGCAAAATATGTAACAGTTCATCCCACCATAATAAAATATAATTGGCTTTCCTTTGTATTCTCACAGCTCAGCATAATGCCTGGTGCAGACTAATTATATAATAATATAGGTTTAATTGAATGAACAAATGGTTGCATGGATGAACATACAAATTAACCTTTTATCTTCCATTACCATTGGAGACAATCTAGAAGTAAATAAAGAAAAGTTGTGAAACAAGTCCCTCACCTGAGGGAGGCAGAGGTTCTGCTAACTATACCAAATTTCCAGTGGTTAAACAATGAGTGATGTGGGAATAGTAATATGAGGCCTGCTACTTAGGAAAATAGGTCCTAATTTTAAAGAACGGTTGACATGAACTGCCAAAAAGCTACACATATTTCATAACCAACTGTGTATTATGTTGTTTTTTTTGTTTTAAATTTAAGATACCTTTCTATGCAAATATACTATATAAGTATTGCTAATAAGCCACATTAGGCCTGCTCAACCTGAGGGTTAAAAAAACTCATGTATGCTTCAATTCTACCAAATATTACCTGCTTACTCTCTGTTTAATTGAGCCCCTCTAAAAATTATTTGGATAATGTTTCTTTGTTTGTTTTAACAGAAAGACTGCAATGAAGATTGTAACTTCAAAGAACTAATTTTAGAAAACCATTACAACACATATGCATCAGCTAAATGGACACACAATGGAGGGGAAATGTTTGTTGCCTTAAATCAAAAGGGGATTCCTGTAAGAGGGAAAAAAACGAAGAAAGAACAAAAAACAGCCCACTTTCTTCCTATGGCAATAACTTAATTGTATATGATATATAAAGAAACAATTCTAGCAGGAAGATTTCTTTAAGTGGACTGTTGTCTTTCTTTTCCAAATTTTCTTTCCTTTTATTTTTTAGTAACCAAGAAAGGCTGGAAAACTACTGAAAAACTGATCAAGCTGGACTTGCGCATTTATGTTTAAGACACTGCATTAAAGAAAGATTTGAAAGTATACACAAAAATCAGATTTAGTAACTAAAGGTTGTAAAAAATTGTAAAACTGGTTGTACAATCATGGTGTTAGTAATAGTAATTTTTTCTTAAATTAATTTACCCTTAAGAGTATGTTAGATTTGATCTGATGATTATTTAAATATTCCTATCTGCTTAAAAAATGGCTGCTATAATAATAATAATAATGCAGATTATGTTATATAAGATGTCACACCTAAAGGCTGTTGGCAGGATTTGTCAGATAATCAAGCCACACTAACTATGGAAGATGAGCAGTATTTTAAATGCTTTCTAATGAAAAATTATAATCCACTTAAACTCTAATCAGAAAAAAAATTCTCAAAAAAATCTATTATTAAAAGTCAATAAAATAATTTAACAAAAGTATAGGATTAGAACATGCTTATATCTATTAACAAGAACAAAATTCCTAATGCTTCTCAAGTGGAAAAGGTATTGCTAAAAGGATGTTTCCAAAAATCTTGTATATAAAATAGCAACAGTGATTGAGGATAATACTGTACTTAATGTCACTTGCCACAAAATTAACATTTTATAATTCCTCCAAGTAAAACTGAGAAATCCTTAAGTTTTTTTTCAAGTAACATAATCTATCTTTGTATAATTCATATTTGGGAATAGGGCTTTTAATAATGTTCTTCCCACAAATAATCATGCATTTTTCCTATGGTTACAGCATTAAACTCTATTTTAAGTTGTATTTGAACTTTACTGTTTTGTTATTTAAGTTTGTTATTTATATAAAAAAAAAAACCTTAATAAGCTGTATCTGTTTCATATGCTTTCAATTTTAAAGGAATAACAAAACTGTCTGGCTCAACTGCAAGTTTCCCTCCCCCTTTGTGACTGACACCAAGTCTAACACATAGCACTTGGGCCAGCAAATCCTGGAAGGCAGACAAAAATGAGGGCCTGAAGCAATGCTTACAATAAATGTCTGACACGGAACAATACAAATATGTAAAAAATCTTTTGCCACATATTCTTAACAATTAATTGGATCATATAAGTAAAATCATTACAAATAAAAGAATTTATAGGATTTTAAAGTTAGAATATATTTGAATGCATGAATAGAAAAGTATCTTATTTTAAAACTATGTATATTTAAATTCAGTAATTTTCTAATCTCTAGAAATCTCTGCTATTCAAAAGGTGGCAGCACTGAAAGTTGTTTTCCTGTTAGAAGGCAAGAGCACAATGCCCAAATAGAATCTACAGTTAGGAATAAGGGGCCCTGAATGTCATGAAGGCTTGAGGCCAGCCTACAGGTAACAGGATTATTACAAAGATGAATTTCCACTTCAAAATTCTTTCATAGGTAGATCTTGGTAGCACTTTATATGTTCACCAATGGGAGGTCAACATTTATCTAAATTAAAAGGTATGCTAACCATTGTGGTTTTAATTTCAAAATATTTGTCATTCAAGTCCCTTTACATAAATAGTATTTGGTAATACATTTATAAATGAGAGTTATATGAAAACACTATGTCAACAGAAACAATAGATTCATTTGATTTTCCTATGGTTCACCTACATGACCAGGCTATAGGAAACTAGAAAAAATTGCCCATCCTCAGATATACTACTGGGAGAGAGCATGAATAGGATTCTGAACTATCACCTGATTCAAGGACCTTGCTAGCCTAGGTTTTGAGATCAGGCTTCAGTAACTGGAGTTTTGTGAGCATACTGAGGGCAGAGGAGGACTTAATTTTTCATATTTGTTTCCTCAGTGCCTAGCAGATTACCTGTCCATAATCAGTTTTCAATATGAATTCATTCAATGTTTATATACAAAAGAAAATATAAAATAAAACTAATCTTCATTTTTTTTTTTAAATGAATGAGAGGGTCTTAATTTCGCCCAGGTTGGCCTTGAACGCATAGCCTCGCCTCCTCAAGCACCAGGACAACTGGCCAGAGCCACTGCTGCTCCCCTACTAATCTTCATTTTTAAAAGGGTAAACATGACTATACAGAAATTTAAATAGAAATAGTGTATATACATATAAAATACAAGCTACATTAGGACCAAATACTCTTTGTCTATGGAGTTATACTTTCATCAAATTACATAGCAATGCTGAATTAGGCAAAAGCAATATTTAGTGGTAAATCCATTCTTGGTAGTATAAGTCACCTAAAAAAGACTTCTAGAAATGTACTTTAATTAATTTTCTCCTATTTTTAAATTTATTATGCAAATTTTAGAAAATAAAATTTGCTCTAGTTACACATAGAATTCTAGAATCTTAAAACTGTAAGGGGTCTCCACCTCTCTTACTCATTTGTAGACTAGAAAATTGATATTTTGATACACCTAAGGTCACGCCGTTGGATAGATATGCAACTGTCACAAGAGTCTGTATCAGTTAGCATATGTTTTCTCCTCTTCGAATATCAGTCTTATTAACTAGTGGTCTTCTGCGTTTTTTGTTTTTTATTTCTATTGAGATATAGCCTTTACATTTGCACACAAATGTGACTATGTTTTGGCAATGCACTTCATACACAATGACTAATCTACACTGTGATGATTTGATTCAAGGAGAAAATAAATAATGCAGTTTTCAATTCTGATTCCTATTCACCTTTTATTTATAAATGGAAAGCACTGTGCAAAATATACTTATAAGCAGAGTAAGCCTTTCTAAAATGTTCTTTGAAAGAGAAAATACACGAGTTTCTAACAATTAGAAAAAATCACAATATGAAATGATAATAAAAGTAAACAAAAAGGTACTTTCAAAGCAGTGAACAAAACATTTTGACATAGCCATAATATAAATTATAATATAAAAATATAAAAGCTATAGTATAAATTGTCAGCCTTTGTGTTGACTACAAATTCAATTTAACGACAGAAGTGAAGGGATGTTGGAGGTAAATTCTTAGGATTTCTATCTCATAGAGTTTGCTCTTCTGGTTCTCTAGACTGCCAAAGAACATAAAGATGTACTAGGGGATCTAGCTGTAGTAAAAGCAATCCTATAACAACAAAAACTCTAAAACAGTACCTCTCACGATTTTCTACTGAAATATCTCTAATAGTAGAAGTATAAAATAAGAGGTTAGGGTATAATACAAAGGGGGCTCAGCACAGACAGAACATTTCTTTTAAGACTCATGTGATTTTTGCATCTTACTCCATAATATATTAGTGGTTGCATTAATATGACAATGTCTGCACTTAAACACCAGTAAGCAAAATTGATGCTTCAGAATGATTTGCAGTTTTATTTACACCCCAATGCTACTGAGACTTACTTGAGCATGAATAAGACACAAGAGATTCTCTGCCTCCCATAATCCAACCTTAAACATAAAAAACACAAAGCTAAAAAAAACCGGAACTCGAATTCACTATATATAGGAGTTATATTAAAAATACATAACAGCCAGTACGGGTGATTATTGGCCAATCAGAATACATCACTGATATATCAAAATGGATGCAGGACACTATGACTAACGTGTGGCTATCATTTCTACGATCACCCTAAAACAGAGTTGGGAAAATATCTATTAACTAGTCTCTCTGGTTTGGATTCTCAATGTGCATCTTAATATGAAATAGCTCATTAAAACTTTATGTCTAACTATTAGTATTGTTATCAGCTACTCTTTATTCCACTTCTACGCAGTATTTATTCAACCAATCTGCTGCTGTCAATGAAGGTTACTTTTTCCTTCAGGGCCACATATGCTTCCACCTATCCTTTAATTTTGAATGGTTTGTCAATAAAATCTACTTTCTCTTGAGTTGAAAAGACTTGACACGAAGCAAGAAATAATAAAGCCCTAACCTTTTTCCAGTAACATCTGATTTCTCCATTCTCAAACTATATCTCTCAGGGAACCAGATATTTACTCTCATCTGGGAAGATGTCTCTTATGTTTTTCTTTTACTTCCTGATTATCATGTGGTTGCATATTCCAAATCCTTATCACTGAATTTATAAGAGCCTATCCAAATGTATTTTCTTTCATTTATATCCTAATAATTGAAATGTGAGATGAAAATAACATTTCACTTAAAGAAGAAAAACCCTTCTCTTGATGAATCCTTCCATGTGTTAGTTATCTATTGCTGTGTAACAAATTAAAGCTTAATGGCTTCAAACAAATATTTGTTTTCTCATAATTTATGTGGCTCAGGAACCCGGGCATGGTTCAGTGATGTATCTTTTGTCAGAATTCCTCATGAGGCTGCAATCAAGGTGTTGACCAGGGCTGTAGTCATCTATCTCAGTATTCAACTCAGAAAGGGATCCACCTTAGGTCCTCACTGGCTGTTGTCAGGACATATCACTTCCTTGTCACATGGACCTCTCCACAGCACTGTTTACAACTTTACAGTTTGCTTCCCATGAAGCAAGAAATCAGACAGTGTGAGATAAAATACAAATGGAAGCCACAGGCTTTTAAAAAAAAAAATATATATATATATATATAAAACCTAGTTTCAAAAGTGATGTTACTTCTGCCTGCACTCATGAGGAAAGTATTATGCATATCAGAAGGCAGGGATCACTAGAAGCCATTTTACAGGCTGCCTAATCCAAGTCATAGAATAGATGCTTTAAATGTTACTGCCATAAGCTGGGATTCTACAGGGTCTAATTAAGAGTAATTCATGGCTTTCAGTGGTGATCTATTCAGCAAAGAAAGAGATGAAATATGTATATTCTCTGTGGAAATATTCTTGATTCTTCCTTGAGGGATACTGTGTGGTCCATTGCTACACAGGATAATTAAGAAAATGTTTGAACCACAGCCTGGGCTTCCTATTAGCCTGAGATGTGCCTACTTAGAACTCCCAATGCAGCTGGAAAACCAACAATATCCCTTTGCCTCTACATGAAGCTGTGATATTGTGCCAGAATTGCTAGCCTTTACTTTAGTTATTTAGTAATAACTAAAATAAGCAGCCCAGGATAACTAAGATCTGTGTGTAAACAAATGCTTATCTTGACTTCTGTAAACCACTGAAGTAACAAACAGAATGACAAAAGTCCCCTGGCCCTTGGAATGTCCGGAGACCCTCGCCCTCGTCTCCGCCCAAGAGGTGAATCACAGAATCCCCTAGCCCTTGGAATGTCCAAAACCTTTTCATCCCCATCCCCGCTCCTCACCCCCACTCCCAAGGTGGTTTTTCGGGTATAAAAAGTCTTGGCACCCTCCTTTTGACGCCACAGGTTGGAGAGACGTGAGTCCTCTGTGGTCGCAGGCATAATAAATGACCCTGCAATCTGGCATACTTTTGTCTTGGTGCTAACTTTCTACCCTCGGTCCAATACAACAAAGCAAATTACCCTGCTATCGGGCTCAACATAAAGATAATCCTCCCCTTAACTGCCCTACCTCAAGAGAATAAGATCATAAATGTCAGCTAGAATTCCTTTGGGCCATAGAGTGTTTTGTTCTAAATGATGAAGGCAATCAGCCACAAGTTGCCCAAGGCCATCTGAGAACAAGACCTAAAAAGACTTGAAAACAATTGATTTCAATGGTTGGTACACACTGGTATCCCCTGTTATATATAAAACTCTTTTTTTATATATAAAACACACACACATACTCTCTCTCTCTCTCTTTCTCTTTATATATATAAAACTCTCTCCCTCTCTCTCGCTCTCACTGAGTAAAACTCAGTAAAACTCAGAGAGTGAGAGAGAGAGAGAGAGAGAGAGAGAGAGAGAGAGAGAGAGAGAAGTGCCAAGGCCCCAACACAGGTTAATTACATCAATGGATATGAAAGGCAGCCCATGGAGTGGTATTTTTAAAACTCTCCAGAAGATTCTAATGTGCCTCTGAAGTTGAGAACTAATTAGGTAAATGCAAACAACAACAAAAACCAAAAATCCTCTTTAGGAACTATGCCCGCTTCTTCATCTTTGTTATACGTAAATTTTTGGTGCTGCAAAGGCTGTAGCACTTGAATATAAATTTAATTTTCTCAGCAAGGCAACTTTACTTTCGGCAGAAAGGTTGCTCCCATTAGCCATCTTGCTACAAGAGGACACTGAACAAAGAGGGCAGGGCCATTTATAGCTAACAGATCTTGGTACCTAGACCCTACTGCTGTGACCTGATTCCATTGGCTGGAACTGAACCTCACAGTCTAGTCTGCACCTGTTGGCTAACAACTTAACTTTCCTAAATAGGTAAAGGCAACAGAGAACAGAGGAAAAGAGGATGTAACTTGAGGAATGCTAAGAGAGGTAAACCCTCTTCCACATAAGGAAGGGGAATAAGCTATGAGCTCAGGCTTGCCCGGGCCTGTCCAGGCATGTCAGGGCAAATAACTGGGCTAAAGCGTATAAGCTAAGAACACAGAATACACTTATTTCTCTATTATGATTAATAGCTACTTTAAGATTATTAGCAAAAGCTTTAAAGTAAATTAACCTTTGAAGAAATTATCATTTATTCTTAACAAGCAAAGAAGAATCTTTGAAGAGGAACTTTTATTTATTCTTATGTCCTACAATCTTTGTCTCTTCTTTAAACACCTTGAAAAGCCTTATTCCCTCTCAGCCACTCCTGCCCCTAGGTTTTCCTAGATGCCTCCATATTTTCTGCTACTCACAATTGAGGCTCACAGGAAATGTAAACACTAGAAAGAGAGCTACAATTGTTTTTGTATCAGAATGATTATGGAATACAAAGTACACAAAAGTCCTCCCTCCCCCAGCAGAGTCCATTCTCATACAGAGCAGCCAGAGTGATTCTATTAAAATACATTTCAGATCATGCATCTGAAACAACTGCAATTGTTTTCCATATTCTTCAGAATAGGAGCCTGTCCTCATAGTGGCTAAGGAGTGTCAATGGAATAAGGTGAGTACTTAAAAATTCTGCTGCTGAATTAGGTATGGGCAAAACAGCAAGAAAAGGTAATAAAAATCTAGATAAATTATGCACTTAAATTGCTTGGCAGATACACTGAGGAAAGGAGGAGAGGCCATAGCTCTACTTGAAAAAATGATAAATGAATGTAACTTTTGATGTTTAAAGTAAATATAAAATATTTAGGGTACGTACATATCACCTTAATGATTCTCCACTTGACTGAAATTTTTCTATTAATCAACCAATTAATAGATACAACTAGGCTAGACAAGAGAGCTTCTACTTTACTATTATTTCTTTATAGTATATCTCCTATTGTTGATTATTTTGGTTATTTCAAAATTTTTTACTAAGATAAATATGAATATTTTGCCTATGCTTCTTTATATTTCTGATTTTCTTAGGATGGTTACAAGAAATATAATTGAAAAACTGATTTTCAGAAAGTTTTTTCAAAATACATTCTAATCAGCAGTGAAAGGAGTAAATATTCTAATTTTTATGCTCAAAATTTAGTCAGCTCTTATTCTTGTGTCTCCTCCCCTTTGACTGTGAATGCGTAAATCATCAACACTCAGCTAACTTCTTTCTCAACATCCATTGGGATTCATCTCTTTCTTCATCCTTCTACAGCTTTATTACTTCATGCCTAGAATTTAGCAATAGCTCTTTAATCATTCTTGTTTCAAGTTCCTTCCCATCTTATATGCTGCCTAATTCTTTAATCTTCCTATAGTACTGCTTTGACTATGTCAGTTGCCATTTGAAGACCCAAACTGGTTCCTTTTTGCCTACTGGATTTAGTTTAAACCTCTTCAACTAGCACCCAAAGCTGTCAAACAATTGGCTCTAACTTGACTGTCCAAACTTCTCACTGTTCAATATTAACCTCGTAGTTTCTTTAGTCTGCTGTGTTTATCGCGATTCACACAAGTTGTAAATTGACTCTGCCTCTGAGTTTTGTCTATACTGTCCCCCTTGCTTAGAATATCTCTACCTCCCACTGTCAATCAAACCATACCCTGCTTTGCTCTTAGGGACAAAGCTCAAGTTTAATGAACTATTCCCAACCTTCACCCTGCCTTATAACAATTTTTTTTCCATCTCTGAATCCTATTGCACTCTAATATAGTAATACATTGCACATACATACACATACATGTATGCACACATATATTATATATATATATATACACGCAATGTTTATGTATATGCGTCATCATCCACTTCAGTTAAACAAGCAGGTATTGAGAATTCTACCATGTTTGTATCAGGCACTGTATGATAAATATGTGTTATGTGTGATAAAATTAAAAATGAATATTGCCTTTTTAAAATTTCCCATGGAATCTAGTAAGGAAATAGAACCTCAAAAAGTACTTAATACTATTAATTTCGGCTTACTAAATGATCCATATTAATGATCTATTGACAGAATAATAAATTTTATATACAAAGATCTTTCCAGTCCTGTCATCATGCCTACATAATCTTATCTATTCCTATACAAAGGTCAGTGTTATATACTGGCAAGGTCCTTTAGAAACTGTTTTTAAAAACACGTTGTTTAACAAATGCAGTAATCACTTTGTGAAGTAAAAACACATCTCTCCTTTTTTGTTTCATTTTTGTACTTTTTTTTTTTTAGAACAACTCAATAAAATTCCTGTTTATTGTTGGACAACATTGTTGTACACATACATCAAACAGGCCAAAAAATACATATATATATAAATAAACAGCAACTTCATGGACAAAAAAGGAAAAAAAAAAAAGAAACCTTTTATCTTTGGCCTTTTTAACCATCTCATACAAACAAACTACTTATAGTACAGCTAAGTGCATACATAAAAAAAATTATTGGAATGCTCGGAATAAGATTGTTTTTCTGTTGTCATTTTTGCCTTTTTTACGAAGTTTTTTTCTCCTTTGAGATTATAATGAACATAGTCACACCACATCAAGTCAGATGTACAGACAACGCTCCAAACGCTGGTTTGGTCATCCTAGATCATTAAAAATGACTGACCCTAACAATATGCACAAAAATAAAAAATGTATATAAAAAAATACAAACAAATTTCCTTTTTAAAGTACTTTTAAGAAAAAAAGCAGGGCCTTGGAAATTTTGGTTCTTTTTTCCTCCCCTGTTGCAAATTCCCATGGTTTGGGTTGGGTGGTGGAGAGCCTGTTTTATCAGCGGGTAGCACTGCCCTAAGTGGGTGTGCTTGCAGGCCTCTCTACTCAAAGGTGACCACGTTTAGATTCTGAG